CACAATTTCATACTAAATTTAAAAACTATAATTAGTATTTATTCATATATTATATTTTAAAATCAAAGAACTACTAATCAGGATATAATTAAAGAAATAAGAGTTCATGTTGCTTTTAAAATATTTCACCAATTTCTCTAAAGGAAACACTATCTACAGATTTGCATCGAAGCGTTTCTTATGATAGTGATTTTAATCACTGTCAGATATCATCTATACTTGTCCCATCTATGCCTCGTCCACACTGTGCCTCGACCCCACTGTGCTACCGTTTTTTTTAGGATATTCCTCTTTATTATCAATACTGAGGGAAATTCTTTAAAATTATGGAGCTGATAACATTTGACGTATCATTGAGCAAATTCGGTCTAGCAGGATCGAATGTGATGGCATACATGAACATAAAAAGAAAACATGGAAATGTAAAAATAATAACTTCGCAGCTACACACCGAATGTAATAGCGATTTATTTTAGATTTATGATTTATATAGCAACATGTTACAAAAAAATTTGAAATATTATAGATTAGTAGTTGCACACAAATAGAATTAAAAAATTAATTAATTACACAGAAAAATTATTTACTTTTGTAGTTGAATACTTCTATGATATCAAATTTAATTCGACAATAAATACTTTAAAATTATTAGAAATGAATGATTTTTATAGTTTGTATGGATAAAGCTGGTTACGCTACTTTTTATTTTCTTAAGGGATTTTTTTCAATTTTTGAGGGTAATATCTTCAATTAAATACGAATTGTGATCATTTGACGAATCGTTGAAAAAAGTAGGTCAATAAAGGTTGAGAAAATAAATCGCAGCCACAAAAAAAACACATAATAAAATAATATTAACATGAATAAAAATTTCTTCTTACGAGGGGAGACTACAATGATATAATCCTCAATAATTATTGAAGTTAATGAATCTGAATGAGATAAAAATCAAATAATTTAAAATTTTTATTAACTCAAAAAGAAAATATATATTTCGAATTTTATTTTTTTCATAGTAAAGTATATTACATATATTTTTTTCACTTTTTTTTTCTTAAAACTACCATAACTGTTTCTAAAATTAACAAATCAACATAATTTTTTTTTATATTGAAATCTTTTTTTTTCCTTCATTTGATACCATTTTTTTGAAAATATAACACTTGATCTGCTCACAGGCTATAGGGTCAATCCATGCCAAATCATCCAGAAGTGGTTGCACGACCACCTCATATTTTTCTGAAATTTTCAAGGTTTATTCATTATGCTATATTTAGATTAAAAAATTTTTTTTTTTTTTTATGATCTTCCCATTTTTATGGCTATTTCAATGTAAAAAAAGTTAAAAATAGCTAGATCGATAAAAAACACACAGATTATTCAATTTCAACTCAATCAAGTTAAAATTTTAGATTTGACCCTATTATAACTTAAAGTTTACATTAAAAAAAATAAAAAAAAAATTATGTGAAATTCTAAACTTAAATGACTTTCAAAAAATGGCGCTTTTTTTGTGAAAATTGGCGTTTTTGAACTCACTTAAAACCATTAAGAAGTTATTATTTTATTGTGATTTTTACATGTATGTATAGTGTATAATCTATGTTTCAACTAAATTTCAAATATTTAAAACAATTATCTTGGGATTTAGAGGCCTACAAAGTTAGAAATTTTATAAAAATACGTGTATTCTATGTGCAATATCTCTGTTGGGTAATCTAATTTCCAAAAAAATTTTTTTTAGTTTTGTAGATATATATCTGTTTTATACACCATAAAAATTGGAAGTTTTAGAAAAATGTGTAACATGTAAAATGTAGCATTAGAAAATCAGTAAAAATCAAATAATTTAATGATAGTTTTTTGTTGTTTTTAAACCACATTTTTGTAATTTTTTTTGTATATCATTGTATATGTAATATATTATAATTCAATATAATTATTAGACACGTTATAAATATTCAGTTCATTATTTTAGATCGAAAATAAAAAAAAAATAAATAAAATTATTATGATAATATTGTATGTAAAATATTTATAATCATGGTTTTTTTAGTAGTTAGAATATTGTGTCTTTATACATTTTTTTTTTTCATTTTACAGTACATAAAATAAGCTTTAATTTGGATATGTTTAAAGGACGCAGTATTTCCGGAACATTTTTAAAAGTTAAATTGAAAATGTTAGTTTTTGTAAAAAGTTCGAAGCGAAGCTAAAATTACTACTATGATGTGTTTTTTTTGTGTCTGTTACCACTATTTCACAGCTTTCATCGGACCAATTTCTTTCAACGATCCGTAAAAAGAACACAAATCGAATCTAATTGAAAATATTGCCCTAAAAATTAAAAAAATTCCCTCATTTCCTGAAAATCCCCCCCAAAATTACTCTTTTTAAAATCAGTTAAATTTTATATTTTTTTTTCTTAAAACTACCATAACTTATTCAAAAATTAACAATTCAAAATATTTTTTTTTATAGAAGCCTTAGGCGTTTCCTTTTCATTTGATATCATTTTTTTAAAATTCTGATTCTTTATCTACCCACATGGGGGACTCAAGTAGCAACTTTTTTACAAAAGTAAATTTTTTCAACTTGATTTTTGAAAATGATCCGGAAATACTTTGTCCTTTAAATATATGTTAAAATAAGCTTATGGTACGTACTATAAATTAAAAAACAAATATTTATCCCAACGACCTACCTTTTATATGCAAATGGCCAAAGTTGAACAAATTTATTAAATATTTATTCATATATTACTCTTATTCTTTTCAAAATTCACCATTCCGAGATAATCGCGTTTAAAATTTCAAGTCTGGTGTATGTGAATATTACAACTCACGCTTTATAACGATGCAAGTTTACATCTATTGCTCAGATCTTTATAAAAATTTGGGGAAATGTTGTTAACGAGTTGTACTTCAATATAAAACAATAAACAATTTTATGATATTTTGTAATAAATAAGGTATGTAACTGAGCCAGTTTTTAAATGAAGCATAGATTCTGTCACAATTTTCAATGAATCGTAAATTGAGGATATCTGAACCTTTCTTTTATTATTTGAGTTTTTACTTTCATCTCCTACGTGTAATACGAATAAAGAGCAATGTTGCTCATAAATATTGGATTGAAATTTATGAATTAAAGAAAGTGTACTCTTGGCCCTTTTTTATAATTAGGCTTATGTTGAAAATATCATTTCTTTTGGCTAGCTTAACCCAGTAAAATACATTATTTTAAGAATAGGTGACTGTCTTTCTTGCTGCTCACAAATGACTATCCTATCGTTTATTTTGAGAAAATAATAATTTTTAGATTTTTCCCTTTACTTACACTATAATACCGTAATGTCAAATTTCATATTTTTTTCTTATACACATTAAGTCAGTAACAAAAATAAAAACTAAAATCTTTCTATTGTGAAATAGATTAACATTAAGGGCTATTTTTATTTTTTATAGTATTTTAAGCTGCTAGAGCCTAATCTATGTTTCAAATGTTTAAAGTCTATCTTAAAAGGAAACAAAGATACGAGAGTAAGATAAACCGGATGAATTGTTTTGTATAAAGATACACTTAGATAATCAGATATATAATTTATTATATAATTATAAACTATATAATTTGGCATTGCACAATGGGTTCATATTAATAAAAATTAAATTTTACATCTTCGGAAAATTGACAATTTTTTTGTATGTTTGAATGTATCACTATTAACAAATTACCCTTTTTTCTATAACTAGCACTAAGTGAGCCATCCTGGAATTACCGTAAAGTATTACTTTAGGAGGGTTACTAATAAAATACTGAATCCAGTAAAGTTTTCATTAATTTAACATTATTACATAATAAAATTCTATATTATGTTATATAAATTATGTTCAATTAGCTGAGATATATTTAAAAATATATATTAATAACGAGTTATTAATAGGTATTAAAAAGTCTAAAAGACTAAAATAGTAGGATGAATATCTACCTCAATACCTGTTGAAAATAATATAGTCAGTAATTATGTCCAGTCTAGCTCCATTCAGCAATTTAAATCTTATAAATCTATATATATTATCTTGTATCAACATATTTGTGTATAACACCTCTCCACTACACTCAGAAAAAAAAAATATATATAATAAATTAATTTAAGATCAGGCTATTCAATATGAACATATTTTTTTACTGTGAAATAAATACAAAATAAAAATAATAAAATCAACAGTATTGCTAAAAATAAACAGTAACAAAAGAATAAATAAAATCACATATTTGAATAGTTATGAAATATAAACAATTAATAATGCCAACGTAATGATATACTAATAAAACATTTTTTATAAAAATTAATAAAAACCCTTGTAGTTGATTAATGGCCTAAAAAATAAATTTTCAAATAAATACGTGTCGTTCCTTTTAACGAAACCTAATCTTGTTGTTACAGCAACGATAATCAAAAGCCTAACGAAAGTTTCGAAGAAAACTTCTTACGACGCTGTTGGAAACAGCCTGTTTTTGCAAATTTTTTTATCCACACTTAGGGCCACATTTTCTTATCACACTTTCAGCTAATTTACTTCTAAAATATCTTCTTACTAATGCGCTCATTAGTTTTTCGTACTCGCGGTCAGGTAGGTTGGGATAATCGTCTGTAAACGCTTTTACCACGGCTTTGGCACTTGCTTTGCAACATTCGCACATGCATTTGGCGTAGTCCCATAGGCAATCTAATGTAGGCAATAGATTAAATGGTGGAGGTAGATCAGTGTGTACAGAGAATGACAGAAATACTTGCGTCCGACCGAAAACCCATTCTACGTACGAGTTACCAGTCACCCGCTGGAATGTATTGGTCATGGTGGCTATAAGCATGTTAAGCATGACGATCACTGTCAGTGTCTCGAAAATTGCATACAACAGCGTTCCCACAGCTTGCGTGGCGTAATGCTGATTGATAGCAGCAGCGAAGGAGCCGGAACCTTCTTCGGACTGCCACGCATCAGATACGCCGCCATCTTTTTCTGGATTGTACTCTATTACTACTGAGCCGGCCGTTGGTGGTGTCATGCAAAATATTCCCCAAAACAACGTCTTAAGTGTCGCATAAATGCTGACGAACGATGTATCTTGCTCGATATCGCGGTCTCCGTTCGGATCCTTGCGTGTCATGCCGTCGTAGTATTGATACAGACGACACAGGCCAGCTGTGAACGCCAGGATGATGATGCCGAACAATATGGCAAATCGGGCAAAGTCGGTCGTCATTCGCCCTAGTGATACTTGCATCGGACCTAGGGCATAGCTTAGCTGACACAAGAACAGAAGCCTCAAGTACGACATGACAGTAGCAATGGCCAACAAACCTTCGGCCAGCAAAACGGGATGATACCAGTACCAATAGCGCCGATCATGTGGATCGACGGCAGCACTGTTGCCATCGACAACTCCTCGGCTAGCGGTTGCTACGGCTATAGCATACCCTTGCGGGAAACCGTAAGTTACGGCCCAACAGCTAAATGTCAAAGCAAATATTGAGTACATGGTGCAATCGTAGACATTCCACAAAACACGGAAATATCGTTTGGGTGATTGAACACAAATCAGCCTTAGAGCTCGTACCAAAAAAGCTATGACGTATATAACCAATGCTGCTTTTACCCACAATCGATGGCCATGAAACGGATTTCCACCGCCTGCGACTCCTTCGAAAAATATTCTGTTACTACCTTTAAACCCATCAAATAGTCCGCTATCAAAGAATCCGCTTTCAACCCCGTCGTCAAAAATTTCGCAGCTAGCAGTTTCGAGGTTTCTTGCTTTACTTTCGCCTCCTCCTACTACAGCTGATTCGACTCGTGGCTTCATTTTACTTGCATTGTTTTCGTATGTTAGTAGTGCCAAGAAAATTGCATACGATGCCATATAGTTAAGCAATCGGTTGACCGGTAACGAATACCATCGGCCGTACCTGGAATACGGCGCCAACAGATGAATTAGTACTACTGGTATAAGCATGGGTATCCGTCCCAGAGCAACGACTGCCTTGCGGACTAGACCCATTCTTTTCCACTCATACCAGTCGCCTGACCATGAAGCCTCAAGTGTCTGTTGAACATAAGCGTGCGCAACAAATTCTTTTTGTTTTGTATCAACGGCTAAAACCAGCCGGTGATAAGGGAAAGCGCCGAAAAAAGTGCAACCCTCCCGATTGGATAGTAGAAGTTGAGTCTCTGTCGATGATCGGCACATGCCAACCAAGTTGACGGCAAATTTACGGGTCTGTAAGTCCAACGATTCATAATCGGACTTAAATATACGGTCGACGTTACCGTGTCTTCGGAGTAATCGACTCAGCCGAAAAGCTTCAAGCACAGGATCTTTGGAGGTCAGTGCGATATATGCTGGATTAGAAATAGCTCTGAACACGGACAATTTTTGATCGGCTGCTCCCAAACCGTTGTTTAGTTGGGCCATAGACTTGCATACCTGTAAAATATAACAAATTTCATTATAAATTTATATTGTCTTGTTATGATTAACACCAAAAAGGATAATATCTTTTTAGCTTCGTTCAAAATTTTAAGAGTTTATAATATGTTAATTATTTATAGTCAATTTTCATCAACTTGTCTTCCCTTTAAAAATAAATTAAGATAGTATTAGGAGTTTAGCGCACAATTATCAAAAATGATTTATGATAAAGAAAAAAAGTAATTGTATAAATTATTTTAACTTCGATACGAATATGAGAAAGTAATAATTTTATCATGAAATTTTTATTTTTTTATTTTAATTTTTGTGTCTATCATTATATTTTTTTAGCTCTCAATGAACCGAGTTTTTTCAACGATATGTCAAAACATTGAAATCATATCTAGCTGAAGATTTTAGCCTTCAACATTAGAACAATTTTTCTTTGTAAAGGATGTATATCCACCAAAAGTTATAATTTTTTAAATTAGTAAAATTTCTACATTTTTTTAACTTTATTTAAACCTATCATAACTTTATGGATAATAACTTTTTTTGAAAATACCATAGGTATTTCGCTTTCTTTTGTTTTAATTTTTTTTAGAAATGTGACCTTTTACCTGCTCATAATGGGGTGTTCAAAATAGCGATTATTGTATACAATATTAATTTTTTAAACTTAATTTATGAAAATATTTCAGAAATACTCCAAGTTTCAAACATACGTAAAAATAAAGCCTATGTTACATACTATAAAATAAAAAAAATTTGTCTCAATAACTTATATCCAAATTGCTATTATTGTTAATAAAACATGCTATTTTTGTGTTAAAATTTTCGATTTTATAATTTATGTTTTCAACTTTAGATTGCTATAATTGTTTGCAAAATGTACAGAGATCAATATATATTTTTTTTATAAATACTTTATACATACTCTTGTTATTCGTCATAGTTTTTTTTTAATCGGACCATTTCTCCTTATAAAAGAGGGGTTCAAAACTTTAACTATACGCATTAAAGAGGCAGAACTCTTTCAACTTAGTTTTTGATAATGTTCTGGAATTTTTTTTTTGAAAAATTACAATACTGAATATTATTTATTTATTATAATTATTACTCATGAAACCAATAATCAGTATATTCTTAAGAAAATATTAGTTGATATTATTTTTGTAATAATCCAACAAATCCTCCTAAAAATTAAACACTATCTAAAAAATTATATTGATGCTTTTTTTTTATAATTTTAATGACTATTGTATATCATTTATATTTGTTCATACTATGAGGTGTGCTCATTGTATTGAGTTTTTCCATTAACTTTTATAAAACAGTTTTTATTTCGAAAATTACATCTTTTAAATTTTAATACAAATATTTTAAATCTTGATCAAATTATAAATTATTAAAAAGTGACCCAAATTTAATGATTCGCAAAAAAGTAACTGTTTATACGCCATTAATTGGTGAAATAAATTAGTTCAATAAATAATGTACTGAACTAACTTTATTATACCTCATCCTATACTATTCTGACAATTCCTGTAATTTTTGGTCCATTAAAATATTTCCTTACTTTTTTTTTTAAATAATTTTTACAATTATAGACTATGTTTTAGTTATGATTCATTGGTCGTATTGTACGAATGTGTTTATCTTGCGTACGTTTGTAATTACCCGCCTATTTTTAGAGTACTATTCCGCTATTTATAGTTTTTATCAGTTTTGAATCCATAGTTTCGCCTTTTTGGCACATTTACAGTGTCCACCGGGGCTCTGGATGCAATCCAGACCTAATCCGGGACCACTCCCCTCTGTGCCGTAGAAGCACTATGCAATCTTCCAACCCACAAATCTCTATGTATAATTCTCGTTATTCTGGTAAGAACAATCAAGGTTCTAAATCTCCAATTAGCCCTTTACACAAAAAACCTAAATCTGACGGTAAAACAAAATCCAATGACCCTTAATCTCAAAATTTTAGTATGGATTGTAGTTCACCTGAAGTTATCGTTGTGACGTCACCCGGTTCGCCAACTTCAAACATAAACTCGCTCTATGTCGATTCTCCTAATATATCAACAGTCAGGCAACCCAATGTTCCTGAATGCTTTCCACTACACTACACTGGTCCCCTTAATGTACTTGTTTCTGCATCTAGCGATAATAACTTAGGTAATTTTCACCCAGTTTAGCTCGGTAAAACTTTTTCCAAACTATTTCCTGGTATTCTGAGCATAAAGCCTTTCGATTCTAAGCGTTTAAAAATCATGTTTGAGTCGGTTAATAACGCCAACAATTGCCTCACTTCCCCTTCTCTTTCTGAACACGGCTACTTTGTGAATATTTCTAGTACTTTACTATATAGTATTGGAATCATACGTCTTGATAAAAGTATCTCTGAACTTTTGGAAAGGTTATGAATGTTCAATCAAAGTTGTTTTATTCAGACGCATTAATATAAAAAAGGATAACATCCTCGTTTCTTCAAATTTAGTTGAACTTAAATTTTTGTCAGCAACTCTTCCTCAAAAATTATCAATATACAAAGTTATTTTTGATGTTTCTCCGAGTATTCGTTCTCCTGTCCAATGTCGTAAGTATTTACGTTTTGGTCACACCCTTCAGTTCTGTCGCAGTAAGGAATGCTGCAGTCACTGCGGTCTCTTTGACCACACTGAATCTAATTGTAACGTCAAATTAACCACACCTCCTTCTTGCATTTTTTGTAAATTTAACCACCCTACGATGGATAGATCTTGCAGCGAATGGTCTGTGCAAAAGGATATTAAAAAAATAATGGGCACAAACAATGTCTCGTTTTCTGAAGCCTACTCGATCAAACGTTCCAGTTTAGTTAATAAAGCTTATACCTTTTCTGATGTTGCTAAAAATACAAATATATCTAGTGTCTAAGTTGTAGCTTCTCCTTCCTTTCCTTCCCTTAGTCATTCTACCAATACATATACAAATAAACAAAAGAAGAAAAAAACGATCTTTCTTTTTACACACTTACAAATCACACGCCAGATTACCTTTATTCGACTATCCTCTAGTGACCCTTATACTAGCTCCTATAGTGTATACTTCAACGTGTTTCCTCGGCTTACCTCCTTCAATCCTCCGTTCTCTTCCTGCAACTTCCGTTAATAATATTTTCAAAGATTATATCTCAGCTAATTTTCCGACTAAATGCTTGATATTCACAGATGGTTCTGTATTAACTAACTCGGTTGGTTGTTCTTTCTTTATTCCTGAACTTAATATTTCATTACAATATTACATTCTTATTATTAAATCACTTATCTTCTAAATTCGATCCCACAATAAATCTATTTTTTTTCACTGGGTGCCGGGCCACGCCGGTATATTAGGTAACGAAACAGCTGATCGTCTTGCTACTTCTACTTCCCCCTTCTTTACTTCTTCTAGTCATAACATTCCCGCTTCTGACTTTCTCCGCCTCTTTCGACAGACAGTTTTTCAAGCCTGGTAGGACAGTTGGGCTACAATAAAATTGAAAACGGTATGTTAGTACCACTCGATATCTCCTTCCATTATTCATTTTCCATGGTTTCATAACCTTGACTTATCCAGAAATATCATTTCTCAGTACTCAGGACTTAGGTTAAGTCATAATCTTCTTTTTAACCATGCATTCCATCTTTCCTTAAATTCTGTTCCCTTCTGTCCCCTACATGATAGTGAAGCTCTATGCGATTTTTCTCATCATCTCTTTGATTGTCCTGCCCTAATTAACAGCAGAAATAAACTATTTAGCCTCTTAGCCTCCCACAACATTAATCCCCCTTCCGTAGCTAATACTCTTAATTCCTGTTTTTCCTTTATTATTATTTCCATAAAATCTTTCTTGAGGAGTGTCATTTAATCTAACATTATTTTATTTTATATTTTTCTATTTACTTATTTATTTATTTTCTCTCATTTTCCATTATTTCAAATAAAAATAAAAATTTAGTAATTTTTTAGTTTGTAAATCTCTATTAACTATAATTTTAATAATATTTAATTTTTCTTTGTTTTTGAGTATACTAACAATTATTGTCATATTTGTTATACCATTATAACATAGCACTGTTATTGTTATACTTCTCATTTACTTATTTTTTCTTTGTTTATAATTGTTAAGTTATTATTTTAATAAAGGCTATAAAAAATAAAAAAATAGACTACGTTTAAAGCTTATTTTTTTTTATTTGTATTTAATAAGAAAAAAAACGATTTTCATTTTTTTCAAACTTTCAAAATAATTATATTTTAGCGGTTATTAAAAAAATGTTGATGGGTTGATAATAGCTTTATGATGATTGGTTTTTTTGAGTTACAACGATTGTAATACATACAGTAGGTGTAAGCTGTAAGCTGTATAAATGGTTATTTAAAACATCGAAAAATTAAAAAAAATATTGTTTTTATTAGAGACAAACAATAAAAAACAAATTTTAAACATATTTAAAACTGTATAAATTAATAAAAAAAAAAGTAATAAAATATTTTAGTAGACCAAAAGTGAATTTGTCAGAAGAGGCTGGATTACTCTGTATAATAAAGTTAGTTCAGTATTTTTAACAATAATTTTCGAGACTTAAAAAGTTTTTTATTATATTTGATGGTATATTTTACACTGTTTTTTTAACTATTTGATATTAACAATTAGTAGCGTATAAATAGTATTTTGATTTTTTTTTTTTGAGTTACTTCATTTATTTAGTTATCATTCTCAAATAAGTGTTACTTGTATAAAGAATATGTTAACTGTTTTTCATGATATTTTCCTGTCTTTATTTTATATAGAAGTGTTTTCATTTTTAAAGGAAAATTTTCCCCTAATCCCTTTTTAATTAATTATTTAAAAAAGAAAGTAACAGGATATATTCTAAATATACATATATAAATATATATTATTTATATTAGTGGATCAATAGTTATAGAATTTGTCAGAACAGGTTGGTATACTCTATGTGCTTCATGCAATAAGTAAATCTTATTTATTATAAAAAAATTCCTTAGAAAAGCTTTAAATTTTTTTACTTGGGTAATTTTTCAAACAAGTGGATTTATCATAGATAAAATTATTTCTGTAAAAATATTTACCTCTTTACAAACACACGTCGGCTCATGTGGTATTTCAATTATGTGGCCCTGTTTCAATAAAAGGTCGATAATCTTGTACCGCCCACACTGGGCGGCTAACACTAGCGGCGTTAGGTACGCTGGGAACACAGTGGATTTATCGTAACCCTCGTACGCCAGATCTGGAACCGTCGCCCTAAAAGCTTCTAACAGTTTGACTACGACCGTGTAACGGTCCTGTCGAATAGCATAGAGTAATGAGTCCCCGATAATCAATCCAGGCTTCGACAGTAACAAGTCGACCATAGGTTCACAATCGGCCTCAATAGCCATGTTCAGCGCCGTCATGCCCCGGTAGTTTTTATAGTTAATCAAGTCTGCGGTGGTGATGGCCGTTCGGTCGTCCGTCTGTAGCTTGTCGAATAAGTTTTGTACGGCCATCACGTTGCATGCACGTACCGCATCGAAAAATTTGCGATGCAACGACTCAGCCGGGTCGAACGGTCGTTCTGGCCCTTCGTCTTCGCTCTCGTCGTTTTCGCCATCGGTATCGGTAGAGCCGTTTATTGTCGTTGAATCGTCTCCATTGGAATTGCCGATCAAAGTGGTTTTCTCGTCGTCGTCTACGTTTCGATTAGACCACTTGACGTGCGATTCGGTCATGATAGTCCTGATTGAGTGCACAGTTTTCGTCACTTTTTCTATAATAATTTATTATTTATTTACTTTTTTTTTTTTTTTAAGAATCACTTATGCGTGAAGTTAACTATTTTGTTCGTTTTATAGTCCATGGCCATCTGTATTCAAAATTGTTGTAAAAAATCATCAAAATATGTAATTCACATCTGTTTAAATTGTTTTCAATAGCAACTTTGGATTTGCTATAGTGATAGACGAGTGTAAGATTTATACAATTGTTAAAATACGCATCATCTGTTCTTCTTGAAAAATTTAACTAGAATCCATTGACCGTCGCCATATATATACAACTGTGTAAACAACAGTGTTATTTTGTTTTTAGTTTATCTTTACAACTTGGACACATTAATTACAAATAATAATTACATTTTTATTAAATGATAAGAAAATATACCCATCTTTATCCTTGTGCAGCCTTACACTCATGGGCGTAGCTTGTAAAATTTGTCTGTAGGGGTTATTTTATAGTTTTGGGTAATAGACCTGGGAAATTTACATTCTTCACATTGCTTTATCTCTCTCTTTTCTTAAAAACATTCAATTCATTTACGCGGCTAGGCCCTCACACCTTTCATGCAAACTATCCGAATTTTTAGTCTGCAAAGCCACCAGGGGTAATTTAAACAGTTAAATATTTAAATGTAGTGGTGTCATTTGTGACGGACAAGGTGGACATTTACCACTCCTCCTTAAAAATTGTGTGTTTTTAAATTCATTAAATGTTCACAAAAATCAAATTAGTGTGAAATATGACTAATCATATATGATTTTAGAAATTTTTGTTATGGAAAGATTATTCGTCCTTCACCAACATAAACAATTAATAACTGTACTAGTGCCTGATCAGCACAAACGACCCTACAGCTCAACTATGAGTATACGGCGCGCGGGTGTAAATAAACCGATTACACACATTACTTAAATTATATAAAAACATAACGAATGCAGTGGACATTTTGCGGCAACTTACTTTTATTGATCTGATAACTAATAAATAAATAATATTAAATAGAAATAAATGCTTGTTATCGTAGTTAGTTGAGAGTCTATATTTATTTGGTCACAAAACCGCTAACTGGCCTTTTAGTGGGGTATAAATTATATAGGGCCATCGTTGTCCCGTTTAAGTACAGCTTAGCCAATTGTTAGGGCCATAGTGGGAAAGCACGTTGCATTTTATTGTCATATAAAAGTATTTTTTATATTACAGATTATTCGCAATTATAAATGGGGGTTATAAAAACAGGACACAAATGTTGTTCGTGTTGTCTATTATGAGTTAACATTTACCTGTAAAAAGTTAAATATTTTGAATCATGGATATTAAATTTGAACAAATGCAAAGAATTATTTTTTTAGAATATAAAAATAAAAAACGGTAGCACAATGAAGTCGAGGCACAGTGTAGACAAGGCATAGATGGGACAAGTATAGATGATATTTGACAGTGATTAAAATCACTATTATAAGAAACGCTTCGATGCAAATCTGTAGATAGAGTTTCATTTAGAGAAATTTGTGGATTATTCCAAAAGCAACATCAACTCTTATTTCTTTGATTATATCCTAATTAGTAGTTCTTTGATTTTAAAATATAATATATGAATAAATACTAATTATAATTATTAAATTTAGTATGAAAATAAAAAAGTAAAAAAAATTTAATAAGTTTAATTTCTTATGTCTTATGACCTTTATTCTATGTCAATTAAATTATATAATATTCATGAAAGTCAATATATTCTCCTAATAAGATATTTTAAAATAAAATAAAATACAAAACCTAGAATTTTAATAGAAAAATAGCATATTTTTGAATACGGTAGCCATTTGCGCATAGAAGATAGGTCGTCGGGACAAATTTTTTTTTTTATTTTTTAGTACATAAAATAAGCTTTAATTTTATATATGTTTAAAGGACGCAGTATTTCCGGAACATTTTCAAAAATTAAGTTGAAAAAGTTATTTTTTGTAAAAAAGTTGCTATTTTAAATCCCCCCCAATGAGCAGGTTAAGTGTTAGATTTTCAAAAAAATGATATCAAATGAAAGGTAAATATCTAAGGTTTTAGTATAAAAAAAAATTATGTTGATTTGTTGATTTTTCAAAAAGTTATGGAAGTTTTAAGAAAAAAAAGTGAAAAAATTTCGAAAATTAGCGATTTTTAAATTTGTAATTTTTTTGGATATTTCCCCCATTTGCGGGGAACGAGGGAATTTTTTTCAATTTTTAAGGGTAATGTCTTCAACTAGATACGATTTGTGATCTTTTGACGTATTTTTGAAAGAAATCGGTCCAGTGAGAGCTGAGAAAAAGTGGCAACAGACATAAAAAAAAAAAAAAACACATCATAGTAAAATTAATACCTTCTCCGCTTCGCATCGAAGCTAAAATATAGATAATAGTTATAACTCGTAACGGTAATCAAATATTATTTCAAATTACTTTTTATTATCAAGAAATAAGTTTTTTTTTTGTTATAAAACTTTTTTGTTATATAGTAGTTACAACCAAAATTTATTTTTCAAAGTTATTATAACTTAAGGAGAAATTTAGTAAAGAATAAATAAATCATTCTGTAAATGTAAATTTTGAATAAATTTCGACGGGAGACCGATCCTTTGGGAGCTTCCTCAGATACGGTCTTAGTCTTAAGTATTTCTATTATCTTATTTCAACATTATTAATTAACTAAATGACTGTCTGATGCAGTTTTTATTCTAAAATTCTAATGAATGCTTGATATAAAACTTCTGGTTTGAATAATATTTATTTAGTTGCTAGGATAAACATTAATGATCATTTTTAATGGCTTATATAATTGTTTCGTCAATTATTATGTACTACTGAAAGCGATTTTTTTCTTATACAATTTTTTTTTGTTATTATAGATTTATATTTGTAAACTTATTTGTAACAATCCAACATAATTATTATTTCGTTACGCTATTTGAGATAATCAGTTTTAATTTTTGTAACATGAAATCCAAGCGTAGTTTCTTTAGTTGTTTTTCTAACAACTGTATATGGAGGTTTATACGAGGAATCAAAACTAATAAATGTGAACCACTGGTAGAAACGAATAGTAAAAAAAGATATCCTATAACTTTGATCATTTTTGAGACTTAATATATTTTTAAACTTTTATTCGATTTTTGTCAAAATTAGTGAATCATTTAAAGAATAAAAGAATAGAAAAATCTGATATTGGCTCGCAAAAATACTGTAAGCATTTACAATATATTGATGAGAATCCAACGTTCGGGCTTGATATAAGTCATATAAAAGACGTAAATATTTTATCTTTCATCGATCCGGTTTGTTTTTTACAAATATTTTTTTTATTTGTAGTTTAATATTTTTAAACTGCTATAAATAAAACTTTTCCTAGGATGACTTATCCAATAGTGTACAATGTAATCCATCTCTACGTCTACCTAGAATTCGTCCAGAAGCAACAAGCACAATTGTATCTAAAAGAACTTGTAGACAAAAAGAAAAAGGTTTGTAGTAATTTTTTAAGCTTAAAGCAGATTCTTTAATGAAATTAAAATTAGTATTTTATTTCGATAAAAGTGAGTATATACAAGAAATTTTTTAGCACTCAAAATAAAAAAAAAATTGTAAATGCATTGTATTAATTTTTTGTTGGGTGACATATAGTTTAATCAAAATCAATAAAACTCATTTTTCCAGAAACTATTGAAAATTAAAAATTTTTGTGAAGAAAAAAACTGTTAGGTTTAAAAAACGATACAAATATATGAAGCTTAATAATTTATTTTTTCATCCCTTTAATAATAATAATCCTTGAAATCAATTTTCTTAAATGGGACGCCTATTTTCTACTCGATAATAATTTTGTTCTTATGATTTTTTTATTCGATAAATAATTTGTATTTCAATATTGTTTAAAGATTTGAATACCAAGGAAAAATTTATCTTCTTCTTTCTTCTGCAGTATTCAATCTAAAGATTGGTTTGCAGTAACTTCCGTGTTTCTCTATTACTAGCTTTCCTCTTCAACTCTTAATATGAAATATATCCTTGATCTTCTATTTTCTGACTTATGTATTGAAATATTGGTCTCCCTCTATGATTTTTTCCACCGATTATTCCTTCTAAGATTATTAATAGCAACCCATCGTGTCTACGACCTATTAATTCATTTCGTCTTTTATGTATACTCTTTATATTAATTTCCTCTCAGATACCCTTTCTAAAAATTCTTCATTAGTAGTTCTATTAGTTCAACTAATCTTTTCTATCTTCCTGTAGCACTACATATCGAATTTTTCTCTTGCAATAGTCCATGTTTCGCATCCATACATGGACTATTGCAAGAGAAAAATAACACGATACTTTAGATGTACGTTTTTAGTAGATTCTTTCTCTAATATTATTATTATTGGTTATTGTTTTTTGAAGTAAAAAAACTTCATTTCTTATTATATGCCACCTTAGCTTAGGATATTCTCTTTATAATTTCCTTTTTCTATTTCCCAACTGATAAGAATAGTGCTACTCAAGTATATGAAATTTTTTACTTGTTCTACAGTTTCATCGTTCTTTAATTTTATTCTTATGTTATTGTCTTTATTACATACTAGGGCTTTCATCCTCTTTGCGTTTATTTTTATATGTAAATATTTTTCTATAATCTTTTCCAATGTTCCTAAAATTTTTTTTTAGATCTTTTTTATACTCCCCTATATTGCAATGTTGTCCGCGAATCTTAGCATGTTTGTTCCTAGCTGTGTCCTCTCTCTTATAATATATATGATGGCCTTATTAATATAGGCATTAAATATTATTGACCCTGTCTAACACCTATCATTATTTTGTTCTTTTTTTGAATATCTCCCATTTTTATGATTGCTATTTATACAATTGATATAGCAGTTTTTATTCCGTGGTTGCAATTCCAATTCTTTTCAGCAATTTTAATATTATTTCCTAGTTAACATTATCGAATGTTTTCTTTATGTCAACAAAGGCAATAAACTTCGACTTATCTTTACGTATTCTTTTCTCCACTATTAATCTTAAAGCCAAGAGAAGAAGAGATATTTCTCTCGTAACCATATTTTTTCTAAATCCGAATTGATCCTCTGATAATATTTCTTCTATCTTCTTTTCCATTTTCTTATACATAATTTTTGTTAATATCTTTGAGGCATGCGAGAGAATGCTAATCATTTGATATTGATCTTTTTAGCTGATGTTTTCTTTGGAATGGGAATAGATATACTTTTTACAAAGTCGGTAGGCATATACTCCATTCTGTAAATATCTCTAATGAGTTTAAATAATTCATTCACCATATTTTCTCCTGTTTTCTTCCAAAGCTCGGCTTGAATCTCATCTATTCCTGCCGTTTTCTTTATTTTTAAGTCTCTTAATGCTTTGTCAAATTATTCTCTTAATACCGGAAATTCTACATACTCTTCATCTTGCTCCATAAACAGTGAAATAACAATAGAATTTCGGACTAAAATCTCTTAACTTTAACATTTGAAACAATTAAACGGATGATTGTATAGAAAAAATTATAAGAACAATATTGTTAGTAATTTTTTCTTCTATTATATTAGCAAGTTTAAAATAAGGATTCTATTTAAAAAATATCATTTAATATTTAATAACTTTTAAAGAATTAAAAAAAATATTTAATACCACATATTATGTAAGTTTTTTGAAACAAATAATTTTTCTCTGTATAAATAAAATAAAAAATGTTCAATAGTTTTTGAGAAAGTAAATATCTTACTAGACTTTTTCACCTTGCATATCCTTATTCCCTTAATTCGACTATTGAGCAAGACTATTGAGTTTATGTCATTATAATTTTATTTGAATGAAAAAAATATTTTACCAGAATCATAAGCCTTTAATTATTTTTTCATAGTTTTTCACTTTTGTTCAAAAATGATCTTGTTTTATAACATTTGCCTATACAAGGTGTTCAGTAAGTCAGGAAACGGGTATCTATTGTTCTCATTGTTTGTAACAATGAGAACAATAGATACCCGTTTCCTGACTTACTGAACACCCTGTATATTAGAATTTTAGAGCTTGATATTATTAATTTTCTTTCAATTTGTATGATATTCGCCGCTCTTAAAAATACTCAATTAAGTTATTAGAACTATGAATTTTAAACTAGATAATATTATACATATGACATAATGAATTTACTTTAATTAACTTTAAGATTCCTACTCTAAGTAGGTAGGCTAACATTGAATAAACATGTTTTATATAAATGTAATTTGTGTTTTTTTTAAATAGATGATAGCTTAAAATTAATTACTCAGAAATTATCGATCATTACAGGTAAAATTATTTGACATACTACGTATAAATTACAATTTGTATTCTTAATGAATGCCAAAAATATTTTTTTAGACGAAATGAACGAAATAAAAACAGACATGTCGCAATTAAAAAAGATATTTGAAAATTATGTGGAACGTAAAAGCATATCTGAAAACAGCGATACAGAAAGTAATTTTTAATGTTATTTTTTATTAAAAAATGATTACTATTAAAGTGGCATATATCTATACATATACATGTATTGCGATCATAATGTATACATATAGTGTGTTCAGTAAGAAAACGGGTTTCTATTATTCTTATTGTTATTACAATTGACCTGTTTCCTTATTTACTGAACAATTTGTATAAGACCGGCTGCATACAGACATCTTTGCATGGAAACATACTTATAAAAAATTTAGAGGTGGTATTAATCCAATAAAAAATGTTTTATTATGCAACACATAAATTTTGATATCGGCCACAAAAACATTAAAGTAAAATAGTTGAATTCATTTTATTTTCATTTTTTTTCTTTTATTTAATAAAAAAATTAGAAAAGGAGTATCTATTTCTATTTATTTCTGTTTAATTGAACTGAAAACTTTTACACTTATTTTTAAATTACTAATAATATACTAATATAATTAATTTAGTAATATACTTATTTATATTTTTAATTACTTTTGAATTATTTTACTAAAAGATTGTCCTACAAAATTTTTATCAAAGAAAAATTATTAGAAATTATTTGTTGCTTAGTCTGTTTTAAAAATCAAACCATAAAAAAAAGGTTTAGTAAAACCTTCCTGTACGGCTTACTGTAAGGGCAACTGATAACTAATAAATAGTTTTTGACTAATGTAATATTTCCAAAATAAATAAATATTTTTTGTAAACAAAAAAGAAACTTGTTCAGCTTAATAAATACGAATAAATAATAAACAACTGATTAAAAAAAGGGTATTTCTTTATTTGTAAATCCGTTGACTAAAATCAACTTGGCTTTATAAACAATAAATAAGTAACAAATTGAGAGGCGATTTAAATATAAAAGTACCAAAAAATTAAATAACTAAACTTTTTATTGTAACAAAAAATTGCATTTCAATTAAGATTATGCAAGTTATTTAATCATTGAAAACTAATAAAAATATTGATTTTTATTACTACTGAGCTAAACAATTAAGAAATATAATCATTCATGCAACTTAAAATTAGTTATGCAAAAGTATGGATACTATCAGAATAAATTAAACTATAACTTTACTTGAATTACTACCTGCAAGTGTATTACAATAATATTCCAACCATGGTAATAAAAAACTATATGAATTTCCAACAATAATATAAACAGTGCATTTTAAACGATGAATTTGACTATAATGTTTTATGTACAAACATGAACCTGTTAAACTATAATATGTTTTGTGTACTGAAATTAATAACATGAATATTTGAAAACGACATACAGTTTTACAATTTAAATTGAACTTTAGTACTTTGAAAAAAGTCTTTACTTTAGAATAAAACAATTTACTAATTTATACGAAAAAAAAACTTAACCTATTTCATTTGACAACAGTACTTATAATTTCCATTTGAATACAACAACCGGCCACTGATGAGGCGTCCGAACAGCTGATGGTACGAGAACCATCATCTAGTCACACCCATACCGCCAAATATTAACAATCCAAATCTCGCGCTTGGCGCGAATAGCTATTATTGATTATTTTTAGAATATATATTTTACATTTTTGCATCTTATTTTCATTATTTCTAATAGAACTTTATAATTCTAAATTATTATTACAGCAAATTTGTTGTCAATCAAATAATAAAAACATGAGAAGGTACTATGAAAATATCGAATAAAATTAATTTATTTTAAGTAATGGAATTTAAAACGTGATTTTCGATTAATACTTTTGAAGGAGTGTTTTTTTGATATAATATAAGCTAAAAATACAAAAAGTTTTTTAGTATTATCTCTTCTATTGAAAAATTTAAAAATGCGTCACTATCTGAACTAAAAATATAATTAATTCGTCTAGTTTGATCATATATAGAATTTTATTTAAAGAAAAATTGTTTCAGTTTATGTTCCATCATATTTATATCCGCAGTATACTAATTCGTTATCTACACTTCCGCCAAGTCGGACTACTCGTCGGTTCAAGAAAAATAAAGCTAATGGAGATGCACCTGATCCAAGGTATTTCTTGTTTGAAGAAATCAGGCGAGGCATAAAATTAAGGGTAACATTTTTTTTTTAAATAACCTATAAAAATTTAATACGATAAACCCTAATTTGTCTAAATTATTGCTGAATATTTGTCAGCAATAAGTAGATGCGTACATTAACAAAAAATAATTTTATTGTTGCCACAAAAATAAAAATAAATCTTTTAATGACGCATTTATTAATTTATCATTGTATACGTCTAGTAGTTAGTCATAAACTAAATAATATTTAAAATTAAATCAAGGACTAGATTTAAAGATTGTAAAAAAAATAAAACTAAATATATATTTAGCTAATTTTTTTTCTTTTAGCTTCGATGCAAAACTGAGAAGGTATTAATTTTAATATAATATGTTTTTTTTGTGTCCGTTATCACTTTTTCTCAGCTCTCACCGAACCGATTTCAGTCAACGATACGGCAAAAGATCAAAAATAGTATCTGTTCGAAGAGATTACTCTCAAAAATTGAAAAAATTTCCCTCATTCCCCGTAAATGGGCAAAATCTCTAAAAAATTACAAATTTTAAAATCTCTAATTTTCGAAGTTTTTAAATTTTTTTACTTAGAACTGCCATAACTTTTTCAAAAATGACCAAATCTTTATAATTTTTTTTTATAGATGCACGATGTCTTTACCCATCATTTGATATATTTTTTTTATAAATCTTACCCTTTACCTGCCCACAGGAGAGATTCAAAATGACAACTTTTTCACAAAAAAATGTTTAACTTAACTTTTGAAAGTGTTCCGTAAATACTGACACTTTTATATATATCTTAAATTAAAGCGTCTGTAATATACTTTAATATAAAAAAGAAAAATTTCAATTTTTAGTTTGTTTTCATGGTGAAAACTAATATCAAAGTTAATAAAAAAATCTTTTTTTATATTTTTAATTTTATAATGCTATAACTTTTTGAAAAATATATGGATCAATCAAATTTTTTTAAGATAAGTACTATTTATTTTATTTTCTTATGTGACATACTTTTTTTTTAAAGAAAACCATTTTAAATATAAATATATTTATTTATTTATTTATTCATATATTACACTTATAAATCATAAAACTTTAATGAAGATTAAAATAAAAAAATAAGAGATCATGTTACTTTAGGAATAATCTACCAATTTTTTTTAATTAATCACTATCTACAAATTTGCATCGAAGCATTTTTTATTTTAGTGATTTTAATCACTGTCAGATATCTTAATACTTGATCCGACTATGCCACGACCCCTCTGTTCTGAGTTATTTTTTTAATGTTATTACTTCTCGGGAGGATTAATTGTAGTCAACCCTACAATTTGATATGATTTCTAAATTCACCTCATTTTATTTATTATATAGTAACATAAAAATATTAATGTCTTTAATAATCTTATATTTGTTATACTTAATAAAGACTATAAATTAAAAAGCTATAATCTAGCATTTTATGCCTAAAATAAATTGCATAAAATAATATTATTTGTCTAATTGTTAAAAAATCTTATTTTTAACTTGTATATTTTTTTAATTTCATTTAGCCAGTCAATTGGTCCTCAAATAATAAAAATCCTGATAAATTTCATAGTAAGGATGAAGATATTTTAAACGAAACCAAAGAAGGCGTAAATTTAAATAAGATATATATTTTCTTAATACATTTATTATTTCGAGGTTTTTTTATTTAAAGGTAAAACCTTTGAAAGAAAAATCGATTGATATTTTGGATAAAAATGGGCTGTCTGGTAGTCTATCCAAAGCAATGACTGTTAGTTCTAAAGTTTCTTGCAGCAACACGAGTTCTGGTGATTCTGTAGACAATTATAAAAATGATAAATAATAATTTGTTCAATTTAATTTAAACTAAAAAAATATGACTAAGTAATATTAATATGGGTAAATTATGCTATATAATTAATTAATTAATTAACATTTTAAACTTTTTAATATAATACGAGGGCTTAATATATTCTATATCTAGTTTACGCTTTCTCAACGTAAGACTTTCATATACAGAAACGGTGAAATAATAACTTAAGCGAAATAATGGGATTATTGATAATCGATAACTCGACATACTGATTGCAAAAAGTTTATTAAAATTGGCTTGCACAATGTTATTCATACTAAAAAACCTTCTTAGTATCACGAGTTCAAATAGGCTCGATACACTAAATTTTAACTAAAACTCTTAACACAGCTACCGAACATTGCCAGTTATGGATATGTATTGGAAAACATAAGAAATTAAAATGTTATATAAATTAAGGTGCAGAATAGGAGAATGTGGTTCAAGTTGTCGTAACGTAAAGCCTAATCGCTTTGTCACCATTAACTTCAATCATCAAGAAACCAGTATGCCCTTTGAATATAAATACGATAAAGTGTGTCGTTGAGCATATACACGTCCCCATTACTTTAAGTCAAGTGCTACATTAGCATCCAAATATCCCTTGACTATTGTTTAAAATGAAGTTAATTTAGGTGCCATACACTTAAATACTTTTCGTTATAGCAATAAATAAAAAAAATAATTAATTGAAATTATAAAACTTTTATAATTGTAAAAAGACTTCAGAGGTAGTGTTGTTTAAATCTAGTTTACTATACCAATCACTAATATTTAAAAATTTAAAAATTTTCTAAAAAAATTATGTTTTACTTACTCATATTAATATTATTTTGTTGATTTTTTATCATTTATTGGGAAGTTATTAACATATTATTTGTACTTCAATATATTCTTTAAAATTTCAAAACCTCCATAAAAATTACTTAAAACAAAATAAATATTTAATAAAAAAAAAATGTATAGATACAGTACTACAATATTATTTTTGTATTAAGTTTAATAATGTGAATAATTTATTAATTTATAATATAAAAATATTTGTAATGAAACATTGCATTATATTTCTTATATGAATAGTTTTACAAAGTATTGTAAATAAATAAATTGTTAAAATATAGGCCATATCATATTATTTAACCAGAAATTAATTTTGAAGGTCTTCACTTTTATATCACAATAAAATATTAATGACTTTTTTTAATCATAGCTTAACAGAGTAGACGCCTTATCAAAAGACGCCCACTGAGCTTTTTTCAGTATTTCGATAGGTATTTATGCATTTTATTATCATGTGCCAATGGACTCTTATGTCTTCTATGACTTGAATTACGTTTAATAGAGGATAACAAAATTAAGAAGAAAGAATAAACTATTCAGACTTTTTCCGCAATTTCGAGCTAAAAGCCGATGTGCAATTGTAGTCAAACGCTCTGTTAGAACTCTAAAATACAATACACCAGCAATAGATAATATACATATTTAAAATATACTCCCATTTTTTCATAAAAATTTATAGATTTAAATTTATTCTTATAAATTATTGTTTCAACAATCATTATTACATTAAAAGTTATAAACATTTGAAGATTTAGGCGAGGAGCGGAATAGCGGCGCTCTAATATTTTTACCACATCGAACAGTAAGAATTATTCTACGTTGTGCACTCCACTCACCTATTACTTAAAATTATAGCATCCAAAGTGTAATACAATGCTGGTTATCGACATGTCAATATTTTACTTAGACCATTCTTCATTTAATAGTAAAAAATACTAATAGGTTCCCATTTAAATTTCGAATGTTACCCCTAAAATCTACCACTGGAATAACTTTTTCTTACGATAAACTTGATATTTACAATGGTTTATAATTATGAATTAAACTTTAAAGTATTAATATTAAATACTAGTATACTTAAAAAATTACACTGTAGAAAAGCATATTCAGGTGTTAAACAAATAAGAAAACAGTTCAACTATTACAAACAATGAGAACAATAGAAACTCATTTCCTTACTGAACAGTATTGCTTATAGTTCATGAATCTATTTTTAAGATCGTATCAGGGTGTCTTAAAATTTTTAGACTTTGCCTAATACTGAAGAGTCTATATCCGACCATGAATGTCTTGTACCAGAATCAGTATCATATCATAGTCGTTCAAAAGCTCCAGTTTCATTCTAATGTACGGCATTATTCACTCGGAGCTAAAACTCAGCGCAGTGTAATAGTACACCAGATCTAAATTGTATGTTAAATTACAGATGTATTTTGAAAACAAACTTTTGTATAAGTCTTTGTACTCGCCGAGGGTCACGCGACCGAAATGATGCAGTGCATCAAATCCATGTCTTAAATCATTATCATCCACGTGTAATTCGTTCAATTAGTTGTTAAACGCATCTCGGGATGGTTGGAATGGGTTGACGGTCCAATATTTTTTAATACAACAGTACTTACCTAAGAAAATAATTATAGTCCATTTGCATCATAATGACCGAAATCCAATTACGTCAGAAAACCTACATTAATAATTAAAATATTGTAATTGTACTAGTATCCTATAATCTAAAATGAAAAAACAAATTGTTGTTGCTCGTATAAAATATATTTATTTCATTTCTAGAGTATATACAGTTGTATTAGCAGGGAAGGCGACTAATGCCTCAATTTCAATACGTAAATTAAAAGAAAAGTTTGTAATTGTATCTTTTTGTTTTGATATATCAATCACTCCAAAAGATTATTATAATATTAAAAAACAAAATTAACAATAGTTAAAATAAAAATAATCAAACAACATTTTTACATAATAATTACTGTCTTTATTGTCATTTGGTCTTAGGAAGTATTCTATAATACTTTCAGCTTGTAATCATCAATAAATAATTCTTACTCGATAGCTTCGATGAAATTTTGTTTAATGAAACTATGTTTAATGATCTATACCTATTCATCGATTATACTTCATCCTGTCAACACCAGAAACAATTGCTAATTATATTAGCCTTAATGTATTATTATTTTTAATATTATATATAAAATTATGAAAAATAATTAACTTACAGTAAAAAAATTATTATGTATAAAATTATAATTTCCACTCTGAATACTCATCTACAACCTCTCTATCCAAATTAAAATTTACGATAGATAATAAGCATTTATCTTGTTTGCGTGATACAATTAAGTTGTAAATGCAAACGAGATCTATCATAAAACGACTTTTAAATATACTCCTCAACTTTTGGTTGTTATCTGTAAATAACCTAAGTTTTTCTTTACAATTAAAAAAAAAAAATATCAGTAATACTTATGATAATAAATTTAAAACTATATAATATAAATAATAATAATGCATAATATAATACTTATGATACTTACTGTACTATTTTTATATATTAAGTTATACTATATGATGTTTTATCTACTTGGGTATACTATGCATATACAATGGTAGAACACAATGTTATCTAAGATCGTGCTACATAGACCTTTCACCATATCATCCCGATTCGCACACCAACTATGTAACACACATACAACTAGGTAAGATGCTTGGGTTGCTCGGGGTGGTATTCAGCTCAGACTTTTTATATCTACTCATGGTGGTGCTCATTTTAGTACGAAAACTTAAGGCAAGTAAAAGAAAATCTCCTCTTCCAAACTTCAAAAAAACTTTTCGATTACATTTCTTGTACCGATTTCTACCTTCTAGTTTTTTTTCAGCATTAGTTATTAGATTTAATCATGGTGTTATTAAATAATTTCTACAATGGGTAATCCTAAGTAAATACATTCCTGAACTAATGATTTTCGAATTTAACAGGTATTTTTAACAATTGTGCTATCATTCACTAATTCTGACCACCTAGCAACAATGTTTAAAATGTACAAATTACTAACTCATATTGCCTGAATATTTAAAGAAAAATATCTTTTTCGATTCCAAAACTATTCATCATTATTATTTATAGGAGATTGTATTTGAATATGCGAACAATCAATGACGACGCTAATTACACAGGAAAATTGATGTAATCTATAAAACCTAACTTGAATTTTTTGTTGTTCAGCAACGTTATTGGGAAATTTAATAAATTGAGAATGCAAAAAACCTATTTGTGTAATCATTATTTTAATGACTCTACAAACAATGGCTTTATGTACGGCAATATGATATCCTAAAACCATTTGAAATACACCAGTAGCATAATATTGAAACTTTATTAAAAGCTGTAACTTAGAGGACAACGAATAACTTCTTGAGTTTTGTGTTTTATAGCATCCTCGATTATATTCACAAGAAATATAAAAATTTCTTTAGATAATCTAAATCTACATTTAAAATCTAAATCATCATAAAATTTAAAAAGAATTTCTATTTTAAAAGATCTATTTCTTAGCTGTCTTAGACTTGGTAGACGAATTGTAATTACAAAAATCATTTCTTCATCGGATAAGTCGAAAAAATAAAATGAAAACTATTCGATTAAATATAAGACTGAAGATTAGAACATAAATTTCTCGATTTAAAATTAATTTTTTTAAAATAATACGAACACAACAATACTTGTTTAATATTTTTTATTAAACTGTTAGTATTTAAAAACCCAAATAAAAACTATTTTTTATAACAAATATAATTCGATAAGGAGACAGATAAACAGCTCAATAAATTTTAGAGATCAGAAATTGGGCCAAAGAATTATTGATTCGATAAATGGAAATTTGATAATATTTGATAATTTTGCGGAACTGTTTTTTTTTTTTAATTTATGGAACTGATATTAGGTCATTGATTCTGTAAATGTTCATGCAACCGGTTAAAATATTAATACATACGCGAGATTTAATACGACTAAACAAATGAATACTAGTTAATAATTTTGAATATTTAAAAATTAAATCATTAGAATAATAATAGCAAGAGAAATGACCTTTAATTAAAAATGTTGACTACATAATTGTTCTATATTAAAAACATTTACATAATACAGAAAATTGACAAAGAGCAATATATCACGTTTAACCCATTAAATAAGAGTATATATAATATAATACATTAAAAACACACAAAGTATTAAAAAATAAAAAGCGATTATCTCCTTTACCTTTCTTTGTAAACACTTATGTTAAAAATTACAAAACATTATTATTCCCAAGGTCTTAATAAATCAAATATAATAAAAAAACAGCCAACTTCGACAAATTTATCATCTGTATAAAATAGCTTATACTTGTATGTGCCATAAAAAAACTCCTTCGGAAAATTCGCCTGAGATATTAGTGACAAATCATAACCTTTAAGATGATATGTACCCTGAAGAAATTCAGAAAATTCAATTATAATCAACGTCATAAACTTATAAAATGATTGATATGCGCGAAAATAGTTTAATTTTTAAACTAACCGCTTGAACTGGACAATCTTCTGCTTGTACTAAATGTTTCCATGTGTTTCCGAAAAAAAATTTTAGCATTGAACATGCTCCTTTATTTTTATACACAAAAGCATTATCTTTCCAACCTCCAATTTTCGACCAAATCGCCATATTAATGTTATACTTAATAATAAAATTAAATATTTTGTATTATTACATAAATTTAGTAATTTCTTGTAATAAATTGTTTTTAATAATTATTTTCGCACTTACATATAGTGAGTCATCAAATGGAATTTTAAATGTCGCAGTTCCCGTTAAGAGAGTTATTGTTGGCGAAGCCTTTGATAAATGAAAATCAATATTTATCAGATAATCAATGGATTTATTACAGCTAAAAGCGGCTTTAAATTTTAACTTATATTTTCCCTAAATACATTTAAACAAAGTTATTTAAACATGAAAAAGAATAATAATTTTCAATGATATTAAAAACACTAATAAAATTTTAAAAAACAATATGGTACATTTTTTATAATGTACAATGAATTATAAAAACTACACTTCAATTAAAGCCAACACTCACGGCTGGTAGATTTGGCATGAGTTTTGTTCTCTCTAAACCTAAAGTACAGTGTAGTAAAATAAAAATATTAAAAAAAATACTAATATTTAGAAAATTATTCATGTTGAAATTTAAATGATAATATCTGCTTAAACGAAATAAACTATATCAAGTCACATTTTGAAAATGAGTAACTATATTTGAAATTCTCGTATAAAAAAAAAACATTATAAATATAGTCTCGCCTATTAAACATATTTCAACAATACTTAATGGTTTTGGTAATTATCAAGTACCTACAAAATAATAAAAAAAAACATCGTAGTAAAATCACATAAAAGATCAAAGCCAAATTATGAAAATTGTAAATTCAATATTTGTTTTTCTTCCATTAAAAAAAAATACAATAAAATCAAAAATTGCACAAAAAATGTTATCAGTTTGTAAATCAAACATGGAATTACAAAAATGTATGCTTGAATTTTACAATTTTGACATACCTAGTCTAATATATTTTAATTTCATTAAAAAAAAGTATAATGAAATACAAAAATCAGTTCATAAATCCATCATAGATTTACATTAAATTGTATTGAAATAAAATTGCCTCATTTGTTAAAATCGTTTTTTTTAATTGTCCTCAGTCTCTGTTTGTTTAAATTAGATGAGCATGCAATCTACTATTAACTCACTTGATTAGAGGAAAAGGATTACAAACGTAATTAACAAATTATCATATGGCATTTTTTTTTAATGGCTTTGTGCATGGTTCTAAAATGTTCTAAAAAAATCTCGAAACCTTGGGATTATGCCATACTTACTCTCTCCTGAAACTGACAGAGGGTATAATATATATCTCCCCTAAACCTAAAAGAAATTTGGGAAAATAAATGTTATAAGTATTATGTTATAAGTATTTTATCAATAAAATTGTCCCAATATTTCATCCGATTATCAAAAATATATTTCAATATAAAATAAAAAAAATTGACTATTTTAAAATAACTGTTATTTTTTGAGACATTATCCTTTATTACAGGGATTGAAGGTAATTTTCAAATATGTGGCTCTGATAGCTTCAACTAGATACGTTTTGTGATCTTTTGATGGGACGCACTTTTTTAGTAAAAACACTTCAGTATGTATGGAATAATCTTGTTCACTTACACAAAAAAAGACAGCAAATTAAAAGGCATTAAAGCAATATTTGAAAAATTAGTTTTTATATGAAATCATAATAATAATAATTATAACCATATATAATATATGCTTACTGTCTTTTAATTTAGGATGACAGTATGCACTAAAGCTTTCGGATATGGTTCAATTGTAATTGGATAACTCATAATTTGTTCTATACAATAACCGCTAAAAAATCTAAAGAGTGTTCAGTAAGTAAGGAAACAGGTTAATTGTTCCAAACAATGAGAAAAACAGAAACTCGTTTCCTTAATTATTGAACACCTTATACATTAATAACACAACTTCAAAAAAAACTTAAACAAATAAAGGATCAATAAAAATAGCATTCACAGCAGATAGATTTTTCGCGAGTTTTGTTCCCTCTATCTAATCCAAAGAACTGTTTAGTAAAATATTAAAAAAATAGTAATATTAAAAAAATTTTAATGATAATATCTGTGTTCCATAGTTAATCTATACTAAATCACATTTTTTTTTCAAAATTACTACAGATTATTTTTGTAATGCTCATTAAATAAGCATTACAAGAATACTTTCGTTTATAAATATTATTTCAACAAAATTTGATGATTTGGGTAATTATCAAGTATCTAAAATATAATAAAAAAAAACATCGTAGTATAACCAACCAATACAAATCAATGCTAAACTAATAAAAATAATAAACTCATTCTAATTATTTGCTTACATTTAGTGTTATCGAACAGGAATTTCAAATGTGAGTTATCTATTAAGAGAGGTTTTGCTAACAAATATTTAATATTTATTTTCTACAATAAAAAATTCATTTGAAAACTGCTAAAACTTTTTTTTTAAATCACTGTTGCTAGTGAATTATACAATTATCATACGTAAAATCTAATTACACCATGGTATTTATCGTATAAATATATAATAAAAAACCCAGCTCAGGGGGGTCGCGGCACAGTGGTGACGTGGCATAGTTCGATCAAGTATAATAATATCTGACAGTGATTAAAATCACTATAAAAAAAAAACGCTTCGATGCAAATCTTTAGATAGTGTTTAATTTTAAAAGATTGGTGGATTATTCCAAAAGCAACATGATCTGCTAGTTCGTTATTAATATCCAGATTAAGATAAAGTATGTCGAATGAAAAAGGGATTATTAAAAAATAGTATTTCTCATAGAAAAATTATGTTGATCCATACACTTTTCAATAAGTTATAGCATTATAAAGTTAAAAATGTAAAATACAAAATCGAAAATTTTCACACAAAAATAGCATTCGGTAGCCATTTTCACTATGAAGATAAAATAAAGTCCGAAATTTTTATTTTACATAATAAAGTACATTACATTAGCTTTAATTTAAGATATATATAAAAGTGTCAGACTTTCTGGAACATTTTCAAAAGTCAAGTTGAAAAAATTAATTTTTTGTAAAAAAGTTGTCATTTTAAATCCCCCTTTGTGGGCAGGTTAAGGGCTAAATTTATGAAAAAAATATACCAAATGAAAGGTAATGATATCATGCATCTATATAGAAAACAATTATATTTATTTGGTTATTTTTAAAAAAGTTATAGCTATTTTAAGTAAAAAAAAATTGAAAAAATTTCGAAAATTAGCGATTTTTAAATTTGTAATTTTTTTGGAGGTTTCCCCCATTTACGGGGAACGAGGGAAATTTTTTCAATTTTTNTTTAATTTATATATTAATACATTATCTTTTTAACAATTTTATTTTGAATTAAATTATCATTATATAACTATTAAAATTACATATAAATTAACAAAATTTTTATTTACCACTTTAACATTATTATTTATTCATCAAATTTTAATTTTATTCTTACTAAATACTAAACTTTTATTTTGCTTATATTATTATAACTTTATATTCAATTTTTCATTTATATAAACAATTTTATTACTTTATAATCACTATACATATTCATTTTTATATTTTATATAACTTATTACTGCACTTTTATTACAAATATTTATAAAAAGCACCAAACCTATTTAAAATTATGTACCTTACAATTAAGACAATTTGAATAATTATTTTTAGTATTCTTGATGTATGTCATACAAGGGCGTATGGCATTTTGTCATACGAAAGGGGTGCATTTGTAATAATATATTATTACTTATAATATTAAAATATTATATTATGTTATCTTATGTACATGTATGTCATATATTATGAATTTACAAGATCACCAAAACAGGGTTCCTTATTTTAAACTTAAAATAATTAATAAATTAGGCAATTAAATCTGATTATCGTACAGATTCAAAGTAACGCCTATGTGTGGGTTTTCAATTAATTCCAGCCAATCACATTTAACTATTAATTAAGATCTACAGTTTCTAAGATCACACTAGGGATCACTACACGACCCTTGTCTACTATAAAAACCCATTTTTTCCTATTAAAATCAGTTCTTTGGGCGATTTTAAAATACACAAAATCTGCGACACTCTACTCAAGTTAACACTTCTAATTTGTCTTGTATGTCTTATAGCCGTAGCCGAAAGTGCTAAATTACGATCGTAATTTTTTCTTTAAAACTAAATGACACTTAGAGATTTTAAAGTGAATTTTGTTTTGGTGAATCTTTTAATTTAATTTAATTTGTTCATTAAATAATAATTTTTTATTTTATCGTGGAAATAAATGTCAATTGATATGTTGAACCTCAAACATTTTTTTTTTAAATTATTTTTATATATATAATAAACTCTAATTTTCTCAGTTAATGGTAAATATTTATTATATGACTAACAAGAGGAGGTCACAGTAATGGGGTCACCGATTTTCATAAAATTTATATAGATCTAATCTATATTGAATACAGAATCAGACGTATTTGGAATTTTTTGCCAATGCCCCCCTAAGTCGAGAAAATTGACTTTGAAAATTTTTAATTAGCTTAAATGGGGTCATTTTTCTTCCGGTTAACAATTTGTGTTATGGTCCAGTCGACAGTACGTAATCCTTAACACGTACAGGCTCGGGAACGAATATCTCTAACCTACTGACGAAATTTTATGCTTTTTTTTTCACTGTTTTCTCTTTGAATTATTAATTTTACGTAATATTTGTTAATTTTAGCTTCGATGCGAAGCTGAGAAGGTATTAATTTTACCATGATGTTTTTTTTTTTTTTTTTTTGTCTGTTGCCACTTTTTCTCAGCTCTCACTGAAGATACAAGATTACAAGAAGTTTCGTGAACATAACAAGGTTCCACCCCTAATTTTAAAGAGAACCATAACTTAAAAGTTTAAAAAGCATTATTAGACAAATTTCTTTTTTCCTCTTTCTTTTCTCTTTTTCTTAATATTTTGACCTTTTATAAGGTTCAGAGTCGAACCTTTAATAGGGGAGAGGGTAATGTAAGAACATTTATTACTATGTTCTTACCACTTATATTACACACGTTTTATTTCTATTTATTTAATTCGTAATACATATTAATTAGCATAGAGGGAGATGCTGATGTGACAATTCTACTCGTCTGTAGCCCGGAGCTACTGACGTCGAACTAACAAATACCAGTTGTGTTTGAGTGGCCGTTATAGACATAATTTTCAATATTATTACTTTCGTCTTATTTATATTATTTATAACTTTACTTGTTTTATTCAACGACCCATCTATCGCTATTGTCATCATAGCCAACCAACTCCGTCTCACTTGGATATACCTACTAACCAACTGTACTAGGATTCAGGTCAGACGTATTGTACATTACATATAACTTATATTTACT